GCCGTAAAATACCCTATTAGCCTGTAACTTTCGATTAACAATTTTAATCTATCCAGGGGGAAGGCTTATAATCCGGGGGGGGGGCTTATATCCGGAATAATATCTTTGTTAGCAGATAGGGGAGCTTTAACGTCGGATTATACAGTATGCCAAGTCTACTTACAAAGTTCAACCTACAAACGCCTTGCTGTGCTTGGAAAAACATTCTTTAACTGCTTCTGTCATCATTTCCTTCGTTTTACCAAGGCGTTATGAAATTTTCACAATTTTCAAATTTATATAAAAAGCAAATATTTTAAGCGCCATCTGTGCACAAATTCTTTACAAAGAACAGCAGTTGTTCTTTTGAGGTAAGTTTTCGCGGAATCTTTAGTTGATTGATTGCTGTGGGTGTCATCTTGAGGAGAAATTCGCGAAATTTCTGGAACGTGCCAGGCTGGACCAAACAAACTCTCATTCTGTCAATACAGCCGCCGTTTTCACGTCGTATCAGGTAAAATGGGTTCACTTCACACAAGGCATCGTCCAACTAAAAAGGGAATTAAAACAAACGAGGTTAGATTTAAAACGAAGTCATTTGAATCTCGATGAATCACACTGCCTGCAGTGACGTCTGTTTGCTTTTTCTTCATCCTTGAAAACATGTCAAAGATAACTTGAATACGAAGAGATTCTTAAACCAAATTTAATCCATTGACATCTGGAAATTTTTGGCAAAAACACATTATTTAGACATTTTTGACATTTTCAGCATGGATATGAGCTAAAATAGCTCCAATCTACTCAAAAAGGCATTAGCAACATGAAAGCAAGCCTTTCTTTCACTAGCATCACGTTTTATGACATTTTTGCTCGGGAATGCGCACAATTCAAATTTTTACGTCTTTAGGCAACCTCGTACCTAGAGTCTTCGTTCCTTTCTGCGCATGCCGGCGATGCCGGCTTAACGAAACGCTTGTCTCCCGACCGCTGGTCAAGGGGAACGAAGACGCTGGGTACGACGGTGGTCTTTATGTTTTTCGGTTTATTTTTTCCCGCCTTTGCTTTTTCTCCTTTTCTCATCTTTTTGCTGCAGTTGTTGATCTTCTTCTACTGGGCTTGTCTCCAGTTCAAGAATTCCCGAGAAAGCATCATCGAGACGGAAAATTCTTACCACGGATTAGTCAAGTGTAAGTGGGGAAAATTTTGCTCCAAGTTTATCACTCAAATTTCTAAGCGTTTTCCTGCACATTTCACGTTCAATTGACCCAGTCACTCTGATCTGGGTATCATTGGAAAGATCTTTTTCTCCCGGAGAACTTGAGTATAAATGATACCAATTTTGGTGAAAGATGATGACGTCAGAAGTGTAACAAAGGCCATCGCTGGTCACGGGCGCTTACGAGCGGTACAGGCGCCAATAGGTTAAGTCCATCCTCGTTACCTACGTCTTTCGAAACGAGGCTGCACCGATTTACGCTAGTCAACAATCATGGGGCAGGCATATCGTCCCCATTGCCGGCGACGGCGTCACACTGCGCTAAATATTTTACACCTGAACTAGAATTTGGTTTCCGCAAATGTTGCTGCACGCTAATCATTCAAACTCAAAAATCTAGATGATACCTGTGATAATTACTAGGAGAGAGCAATGGACGTGAACATTACCTCTTGTGAAAGCATGTCATTTTCCGCTGCATCACGGCCATTTGAGCCTCTCAGCTCCACGAAAATCACGTAGAATGGCTTGACTCCTCCAAACCCTATGTGGTTTCTGTTGGTACTGTGACTTCCATGGGTTTTCCTGGTAAGAGTTTCCTCAATGGCTGCTCTACTACTTGGTATAAAATCCAACAGAATGCTCTCCGCGCATGTGTAATCCACAAGGTGAGGCCTCTTGCGTGTGCCTCGGAGCACCTTCGTAAGCGCCTCGTACATCATCGTTTCAGTCGTTTTCTCCGAACGCATGTTAAGAATCTGACCTTGTCTGTACTGGAACTCGATCACCGGGCAACTGTTATGAAAACGAACCACTCTCACCACATCTCCGATCCTGTATCGATAAAGACCACTGAGAGTTGTCACTACCAGCTCGTACAGACCACCCACTTTAACCTCTTCACCAAACAACGTCTGCCAAGGAAACAATGGATACCAATTCAATTTACATCTAAGGCACAAGACGAATTCAAAGGCAACAACAACAATAACAAATACACAGAGACTTGAAACAAAAATGTAATTTGTGATATGTTTGTTACAAAGCGTCTCATGAAAATGTATGTTTTGTTGTAACTGAAATGACTCGCACTTATTTACCAAAATAAACGACGCATCAATCATAAACTGTAAAGCTCGTTTCCTTCTCCCGTGCCTTTGTATTATTCTTTTCACGCATTTTTATATACGACAAGAAAATCGTCAAGTCTTCAGAAAGCTGTTGCCACTCTCTCTATCTACTAAACTGTACATGTTCTGCAAATGTTCCANCCCCCCCCCCATTGGCGCCTCCTTTCCTTCAGATAATCACTCCGGCCTTCCCATATGTGCTGCTGAATGTTTAAAAATTGTGTAAAAAGAACTAAGCAATATTTTACCTTGGGCTGCTCTTCATGGCTGTGATCCAGTGGAATAAACTCATAAAACATTGATCGAGGTACAAGAAGGTAACAAGGCTTGGTGTCTAGTGGCCACAAGTTGACTCCTACTAATCCTTCAGTGGCCCCATAGATAGTGGAACATAATGGCACGCCATGAAGATAGCGGTCCCGCAGCTGAGTAGCATACAGCTCAGAGGAACCTTAGTTTAAAGAAACAAGCTTCAGTTACTCAGTGTAGTAGTGAATCCGGTTAATTCTTGGTCACCACACTGGGATCGCTGTTTACGGGAGGAGGGGGGAGTCACAGCCTTTGGCAACTAAGTTTGTTGGCAACTGCTATGTAACAAAGCCAAACGGAGCAGTCGGAAGTGACTTGAGTACAGACATACGTTCGTGGCCAAACGGACTCGCAAATTTACTCGAAAGTGAATGCAGGTTGTAAATAAAAATGATGCAAGGCTACATATGACGTGTGATTAAGTCGCGTGGGTGGCCAAAAGATGAAAAACTTTCGCCGTGCAAATTTTGATCCCACCAGAGTGAACACAAGTCAACGCAAGTGCACCAGCCTGCGAACGCAGACGTATTTCCGGCTGTCGCTCGTCTCCGCCGAAAAATAACGTCTGCGAACCCGAGCCTGGAAACGATTTCTCTGACGTAGGAATTTTACGCCAATCACAGTTTAGCTCAAGTAGCCCCAGAACTACTGCACGAGGTATTCGCTGCGAGGAGCACTCGAGTTTCATTTTATCATGGAATCTGATTGGYCAAGGACAAACAAAAGTCATTACGTCACAGAAATCGTTTCCTGGCTCGGGTTCGCAGACGTTATTTTCGGCGGAGACAAGCGACAGCCGGAAATACGTCTGCGCTCGCAGGCTACAAGTGCACTGACGTCTTGGCCAAATGGAACGACAAGAAGTTTCGAGTACTTGCGATTCCGTTTGGCAGACCTTAACACCCCTGCCAGCTGACCCTTGAGGTACAGGTTTGGTTTCTGACTGTTTGTTCATTTCATGATAAATTAAGAAAGATGCAGAATCTTAAGCTCTATAGTCAAACGAGAAAGATACTGAATGTTTGTCAGGTCAAATTTTACCACCATTCCTTATTTATCATTATCATTATCAGCATTTCCTTTTCGACGTAAAACAGCTGAGTGCGGTTATAAAACATCACCTTACCAGATACTACGCCATGTACATGTGTTAAGTTTGGCCAGATTCTCTTCGCGATTCCATCAAATCCTTTCTTAAACTCTCTTCTGAGTTCATTTGCTCTTTGTTTATCAGGCTTGAGCAACTTATTCAACTCGCTATGAAGAAAATTGAAAAGTCGTACCATAAACGTTATTTTCGGCGTACGTGGTGAACACAGAGGGACAAAATTTGTTTGGGATTCACTGTGATTATTTCCTTTAATTCATGTGACACAAGACAAAACGAGAGTTCCCTCGTTTTCTCTTGATGTAAGTGAACATGAATAAAGAACAAGTGTTTGTGATTCAAAAATGGTATTGGAAGAATACGGGCTCACAGTCGGTCAGTGTAAAACGAGGACTGTGGACTGCGGACCGCGGACCGCGGACCGCGGACTGCGGACTGCGGACTGCGGACTGCGGACTGCAGACCGGGGGTAAAATGAAGACTGCAGACTGTAGTCTTTTTAACTAAATCGTGTTACCATTTCCATCATTGAGAGCTAACCGTGAACAGNGCGGACTGCGGACTGCGGACTGCGGACTGCGGACTGCAGACCGGGGGTAAAATGAAGACTGCAGACTGTAGTCTTTTTAACTAAATCGTGTTACCATTTCCATCATTGAGAGCTAACCGTGAACAGGCTAACCGGAGCGTTATTTAGGGTAACCTGAGTGACATTCAGGCTAACCGGAGTGATATTCAATCTAACCAGAGTGACATTCAGGCTAACAGGAGTGATGTTCAATCTAACCAGAGGTGATATTCAGGCTAACTGGAGTGCAGACTTTCACTACGATTAGCCCGACGATTAACCTGTATAACCTTGTTTACCATTAGCACTCGGTAAATGGGAATAACACGATAAATACTTAAAAAGTCTGCAATGTGCATTTTACCCACAGTCTGCATTTTACCCCTGCTATGCAATCTACAGTCTTCGTTTTACACTGACCGGCTATCAGGCCTTTTATCAGCCGAAAGTGCTGTCGATAGCAGTGAAATGGTTATGTCTCCGTTCAGGAGATCCTTTAGGTCCATAAATGTGCTGTAGTTGCAGCTCTTACCTTCGGACACGATCTGTTATTTCAAGATCTTCTTTAATTTCACCTTTCTCCACGTCTTGCACCATTAACTCCCAGTTTTTCTCCAGGAAAACAAAAACTCCGTGAATCCAGTATGCAAAATTGCCAAGAATCGAGCCCAAGTCTCTATCTCTTAGGGCAAACAAAATGTGAATATAAAGTCCCGCGGGCTCAGACTTGACATCAAGGTGAACACGGGGCGTGGAGAGGGCGTGGAGGTGCAGAGATGGGGCCAAAGTTGAAGGCCCTATTGGAAGGCCTCCTACTGAGTACCTTAGTTGAGGAGCATGAAACAGTTTAAGAGATTTCTGTAAGTTGTCAGCCTAG